GGGCCATGCCTCTGAGGACCCACCTGACGCTTCAGCCACATTCATTTCACCGCCGAGCTCCCTGTTTGCTCTCCGTCTGGATGGGACCAGACACCTGACACATTCTGCCGTTGCTTTTCCAGGTCAGAATGAAGGAACCATTTCAGTCATCGAAGGAGAAACGCTGTACGTCATAGAGGAAGACAAAGGCGATGGGTGGACCCGCATCCGGAGGAGCGAGGACGAAGAGGGCTATGTCCCCACTTCGTACGTCGAAGTCTATTTGGACAAAAATGCCAAAGGTGCTAAGACTTATATTTAATACAACTTAAAAAAAAAAAAAAAACTTTACAAAATTGGAGTTGTTTCTCCCCGCAACTGTGACTGTTACAGGCAGTTCTTCAAAAGACGGTGGAGAACATCACTGTACCTGTCCTCAGTGGGCATCAGGCATCTCACACCTGAATTTCCTTGTCTAGTCCTGACTATAATCAAGTTTCACTCGCTGATGAAATGTCATGTGGAAAGCCGCCAACTGCCAATTTACAGCCGTGTCATTGGAAATAAGAGAAGCGTGTCTTCTTTTGGCAGCATCTGTAGATAACCAAAAAAAAAACAAAAAAAAAAAGGCTGCCTTGTAGCTCGTAATCAATATTTCTGAATTTCAAAGTCCGCATACATCATAGTGGTGCAGAAGACTTTAGTTCTCATTTCTATCTAGTATCTGCCGCAAATCGAACCACCATAGAATGTTACATTTTGTAAGTTAAGTAGTTGGACTGTGATAGTTTGTGAAATCTTAACGTTCACTTGGGAGAAGTCATAAATCACAGCTCCCCCTTCTTGAGTAAAGAAGCAAGTAAGATTCTTTCTTTGGTACCAAAAGTGTGTATTTTTACTTAACCTGGTTAAGATCATTGTTATAGTATCGTGATTATCCTATTATGTCTATTGGATCCTAGAAAACCAATTGAAATCTGTAAAAGTTTGGGCAGTTACACCGAGTTGATTCTTACACGTGCCTAGTGATCTGCCCTCTGCCAGTCAACAGCGTTGATCGGCTGTGCTAGTGCTATTTAGATAAACTTACATAAAACAGCTTAGTTTTATTCTGTTGGAGGTTTTGTGGCAGGTGGAGCTGTACTCAGCTGACACCTCCCAGATGGGGCCATACATAGACACAGCATCTGCTTCTGCACACAGACGCAGATCCCAGCACATTGCTTTTTTTTTTTTTCCGAATTGATTTAATTTTTAATGTGAACTTGATTTAGAAAAGGCCTATAGATTCTGATTTTCGTAGTTCCCTGCATATTATCTTTCTGCCTTAAGCTCACATTTATATTAATGGGAGTATTACAGATAGAAAAGAGATGTTGAGTGTTAAAAACAAAGTTACAATCTATATTTGAAAAAAAATTAAGTAAATAATGGGGTGGGTGTGTGCGTGTGCGTGTGCGTGTGCGTGTGTGTGTGTGTGTGTGTGTGTGATTCCCCCAGCTACTCTAGCACATAGATTTTCGAAGGGGAGATTTTTTTTTTTAAATCATTGGCATCTTTAAAACCCAAAGTATGAAGTTACTGAAAATCATTTTAGAATTGCTAGCTCATTTCGTAGAATGAACAGTAGCCAGAATAAAATAAACTGTTTCACCATCTTTAAAGGAATCTGGGTCACACGGGGATTTGCATTTTGAAGTTGGCAGGATACGTAGTAAATTGGTCGCATGCGTAGATGAGCACCACGCCCCGCGTTTGTGCCCTTTTTGAAAACTTACCCCGAGATCTCCAGAGAACAGCTAGAATGGGTCAGAATGAAGGTGTCACCTTGAGATTCTCTTTTTATTTGGCTTCGAACATGATTCCTGTCCTTCCTACTTTTAAATGGGAAATTAGCTCCTTGCCTCAACATTGGGCTCCTTTTATAAGCGCAAGTCAATTTGAAGCTGATTTTTAAAAGCGACAGTAGCTCGCGGGGGTGAGGAGAGATGTGGCAGGAGTTATAGGTGCTCGATGCAGATTCCAGCAGAAGGTTCACTTACGTTTCTCACAAAGGCCACCAGGGTGGAACTCGTTAACCTTTCCTTAATGACAGCCTGATATGTAAAACACTTTTTGTTTTTAAATAATTATAGAATCTCAAGAACTTGCAAAGATAGTGCAGAGAGATCCGGGTACCCTTCCCCCAGACCCCGCCCCATGGTCATATCTGACACAATTGTAATACAGCATCAAAAGCAGGAAACCGACTCCCGTCCGCCTGACTTTTTAAAATATAACTTTGTAATTCAAATTCCTTTGGAATAATTATACTTTTACTGACATAATGTCGATAAAGCCACTCAGCCTGAACCCATAATGAGCAGCGGGAGGTCACCCCTTTAGATCTGTCCCACGTGAATGGGAGGCCTGCAGTATTACAATCTAACTTTTCTATCCGGTGATGAACTCACTTCCAGAGTAGGAACTCCTGGAAAAAGCAAACTAACCACTGAAAGTCTTAACGTGGGGCAAGACGACATTAGCCCTTTACACGCCAGCCTTGAAAAGTATGCCATTCCGTGAGGTTTGGTTTGTTTTCCTTTGATATTGTGCAAATTCCATCCAGAAAATAGCTCAGTTGATTTGGGGGTGGGGGGTTGGTGCCTAAATTATGATCACTCGTTTAAGTCCTACACCTCAGCACCTGTAGCCCATGGAGCTCTGGAATCCTGACCAAACAGTGGAAGATATGTTATAGTTTCAGCTCCATCTAGTCTGTGCGTGAAGGATTAGAAAAAACATTGACACAATTCTCAAGGAATCAAGAATTTCCCTTTCCGCCCAAAGTATACTTTGTTTTCTTCCAATAGTTATCTGTTAAAATAAAAGAAACAAAGTCCCGGCTTTTATTTTAGAGATAAACTTAGAACTCACTAATGTGTATGTGAAAAGAAGCTTTTCTCCGTCCCCCGCCAACACCCATCCGGACCCCCGCACGTCTGAGTTGAGTCGCGTATATGTGTGTGTGGTGTCTACGATGTGACTTGTTTAATAACTGCCAAAACATTTGGACTAGGGGAACTTTCAATTGGTCAACTGGATTGTAACTATCTTCTTTTATGGTTTTGTTTTGTTTTTTTTTAAATTGCTTTCTGTTACACTCGTCCAGTAAACCCCGTCCAATATATTTGTATATACTGCGATTTAAAAACTAAGAAGGATTACTTGAATTCCGTTTGTTTTAACGTTTTGCTCTTTTATCTGTTTGTTTTATTGGTGATTCTGCTGCCTCATGTCATGACCTTTTTGTTTTTATGGAAGGACTGTGTCACTGCTAGGTAGGGCCCTGCGGCTGCTCCTCGCTTGAGTTTATAGTAGACACTTGGGTTCTGAGTAAGTTACGTGTGAATACGGCCAACGTGGTTGTTTCTCTCTGTCCTTATCCTAAAAGAAAAGACTGTCTGGCACTTTTTAGTTGTACCCTCGTACCTGCCTCTCTAATAAACGTTATATTTTTCTCAGCGTTGTGTATTTTAAATGATTTTACACCTTTCTGAGAAAGCGAGTCTCTGTATTCCGAGCGTTTAACTCTTTCGTCTTCAGTAATGGGGAGTTTTCTAGCCAAATGCTTTTTAAAAAATTCTGCTCTTTCCTCCTCTTCGTGACGACGCCTTGTGTTTCTACCCTGTGTGCACCTAAGGGCTTCGAGAGTCTGTCTCTGGCTTCTCTGCTCCGCCCCGCCTCACGATGAAGAACTTTGACTGTTTGTGGGGAGGAAACCTTGAGTGACGAGCTTTCCTTTTTCACTGAAGATTTTTACGTTTTACTGATAAAAAGCTAAGAGAGCCAGTCTGAGGGAGAACCGGCCTTTCCGTTCCCGGTCGCATCATCTGGGAAGCTGGGTGGCCTTTCAAAACCCAATGTATTAGAAAGACGACTCGGGGTGGACGGGGGGCCCCCTCTTCTGCGAGGGCTTCTCTAAGGACACATGGAAGATGAAACCGTGAAAGTTCTTCATCTGTGGTGCCCTGTGGTAACCAATCGCTCTAAAGTCCTCTGCCTTCCTTTCTAACTCCGTGTTTTTCTTTCTCTTTCTTTTTGTGTTGTAGATTCCTAAAGGTGGTTAAGGAGCCGGGGGCGGCCTTCCCAGGAGAAACCCTGAGGTCTGCTTGTCTCCACAGGCCTGCTTGGCGCCCACGTGGACGGATGGCTCCCGGGCTGGGCTGGAGTGTGGCCCTCAGAATCTCAGCCTCAAGTGACAGCCCCCACCGTGCAGCTGCTTTTGCCTTTTCTTTCTTTCCTTCTTACAGCATGTTTCGCGGGGCCCACCTCCTTCCATGGCCCAGTCGGGGGCCGCCTCTCGGGGGACAGGTCTGTCCCAAGCCCAGTTCCCACCCCACACAGGGCCAAGGAAGGTAGCTAGACACACACTCCCTCCCTCCCCGAGACCCCGCCTTGGCCCTCAGTCCACCTAGCCCGGCCCGGCCCGTCCACGGTTCACACTGTGCCTTTTTGTGAAAACTTTGCCACTGTTCTCCTGGGGAGACTAACAGAATCTGGACAAGGAGGGTCAGGCGTGTGCCGCGTGGACTGAGCCCCCAAATGTCGAAGCCGTCCCACTTGATTTACGTTAGAAAAGACGCATCTTTTCCCAAGTCCGGCGAGCATGCGGTGGGCCTTGTCTGATGATGGGTCCTCGCCTTACACTAAACAGTGGCCCTTGCGACATCTCGCGGCCTGAGTGTCAGCGGTGGGCCTGGGGACACACACACACACACACACACACACACACACACACACACACACACACAATATTTTTGTTTGGGGCCCTGTCTTCAGTGGCCCAGAAAGGTCCACACTGGAAGTCAGTCTCCAGCTTGCGGGCCCGCCCTGCCGCCCTGCCTGGGTCCCTCTTTCAAAGGGTGGAAGGTGGCCCCAGCCACCTTCTAACACCGTCCTCCTGCAGCCGGGAACCGCAGACGTGACGCTTGGTGAACAAGTGTCTCACGTCCGCCTTAGCTCGTTGCAAAGAGAAGATTCCCCCTTCCGCCAATCCCAAGGTTTGCGTCTTAGGATGTGAGCACTTTGGTCACCAAAGACCCTGTGCGCTTGGGGTCCTCCAGGTGACCCTGTGGCTTTGGCTTCTCCCTTCATCGTGCATCCTCCAGGCCACGGAATTAACTGAGTCTGCTTTCTGAGCTGCGTTTCCTTCCTCTTACGGATCTTTGAGGAAAACGTGAGGTCACATATCCTGCGGCCACTCATGCCTTAGAGCAGCGTGGCTTTTCCTTTTTGGTGCAGGAACAGTCAGAAGAAGTCACTGGCTGGGAGTCTCTGGGAGCGGGGTGCCATCAGAAGCCCAAGGAGGGCATCGGGCCTCTTCTGTCATTTGGCTTTTGGTAACTAGGTGGTCGCCTCGAGCATCCTCAGTTCTCCTCGACGTTTATGAATCTAAGACAAGGAAGTCTCGTAGGAGCCGAAGGGGCAGGGACAGAAACGACAGGTCCAGAGGGTTGGGCCTGTATGTTCAGTGGTAGGAAAATGGCTCCCCTCAGCAAACCGAGGTTGAACACACATCACCCTCAGTGACTAGAACCACGAGCAGGCGAATGCCTCGGGGATGCAGGTGAAGAGGAAGTGGCTTCGGGTTGAGCGCTAGTGAGTGACGAGCCTGCGCCCTCTCTCACTTCCTTCCCCAGAAGCGGGGCTAGGCAGGAAGTGGGGGGGGGGGCGGTCTCAGGGCTGCCACATTAGCAGCAGCTCGTTTCCCACAGTGGGGGGCCCACTGTAGCATAGATGGTGACATCAGTCTCGCATAGATGGTGACATTGAAGCCAGAATGCCAACAGTGAGGAAAGTCTGGGCCTCGCCTGCAAACCAACAGGTGCGTGGCTAAGGTGGGCAGTCCATCCCAGAGTTTCACCAGGTCCAGCTGACCGCTCTCCACAGGGATGCTGATGGTTTTCTAACACCTGATCTTAGAGCCTCAGTAATGTATGTGCATTGCATCTTTCGTATTATGGGTCAGGATAGATGAATTTCTTGCAACATAGGGGAAAAGGTGTCAGCTACAGCAATTTGTTCTTTTAATGTCTGTTAAACCCAGAATAGACTATGCTGTGTCCTCTTGTATCTCCTGCGCCTTTTTTTTCCCCGCTCCCCTTCTGGACCACCTGCATCCAAAAAAAGAATGGATGACAAGTGCTCTTTGACGTTCACCTTGGCGTTTGCTTCTTCTCTACCAATCTGTGTGGCTGCGTGGAAAAGGCAGGGCTGCACCGGCTGGGCCGATTAGAGGAAATGCGTTATTACCTGATAGTTGAGATGTATCCTTTACTCTGGGAATCCCACTGTGCAATCGTCTGTTATCACAGAGCAGTTCACATAGAGTAGAAATGGAATTCCCCACGTGCTTCTCGCTGTCCATTTCCTGCCTGTCATCTTTCCACCGATGCTAGAATAATGTTGTTAGAAGAATGACGATTTTTTTTTTTTTTTTTTTAAAGAATCTGCCCTGAAAATGGCTTCAAAACAAAACGAGAGAGAGGGACTTGTCTCGAGCCAGTTTTTTCCTTGCAGGACGGGAAGACGTTAAAAGGCACGGATCGCTGGAATGGGGGTTTTCCTTTGGGTTTTTATCACGCTCATCGGGAAGCTTTCAGGTTATGCTCGGGCGCCATGAGCCCTCGGCTTGTCTCACCAGTGGGAGCACCAAGGCCACTAATGACTTTTGGTAGCATCTGTAATTACAGAAGGAAGTTTACTGAACATAAAAAAAAAAAAAAAGTTATGTCGTTGCTAAGTATTTTTCCAGAAATTTTGGTTTCAGACTTAATGGCTCTGACTCCTGTGCTTCTGTCATCAAAACAACTTCTTTAAAAAGTGGTCCGAGGTTCCGTTTTAACCTGACGTTGATTTATTTGTGTGCGTTGCACTAATTTTAAACTTTGGAGGCATTTCAATGTTGTCAGGGTCCATTGCCATCGTACAGGTTCTGGAATCGCCCGTTTGTCTCTGGAGATGGAATTAAACCAAATAAAGTGTTCCATTGGAAGGCTTATATTGACCTTGTAACTATATGTTAATCCTTTAAATGTTCAATAAAAGTATAACTTCTGGCACTGTATCATGGGACTGTTTTGTTACACAAAGAGGTGACCTCGGTCTCAGATACCCTGGGGCGAGGGCTGGGCCTGGGCTCTGGTCTGCACCTCGATGATTTACTGTGTAAACCCAAGATTTACTGTGTAAACCCAAGACGAGTCCTGTCATCATCGCCATCTGCCTGGGGAGGGGCTTGCCACCTGGCTTAGTCTCACTGCCACCCCCACCCACCGGGGGAGAAACTGTCAGACGTCGGAGAGGTGGACATCGGGCAGTCAGTCCAGGGCTTGGGGGAGGCTTCTTATGACCCGAAAGGTTTTGTTTCGCATGCAAATTCTGCTGGCAGCTACTCTAGGTTTTCGGAGGCCCTGTGGTGGGGTGTGGGGGTGCTGTGTAATTGGCATGTTTACTTGCGTTTCTTTGGCAGTCTGGTGTCACAAGTGCGCGAGCCCACCCCTGGGAAGCTTGGCTGGAATAATCACTAGTTTCTGTCAAGCCGCAGACTCTGTGCGGCACTAAAGTGGGGGGCCTCGTGCCTCGCCCCCCTGGATGTGCTGTGGGAGGCCCTGTTTCCACATCCAGCGCTGCGCATCTCACCAAGCCCTCGGGGCAAGTACGACTGGTTTGTGCCCACACTTCTTTATTCCCTAAGGTTCTTGAGAGCTCGGAGTGTGAACAGAGCCATCTTGCTAAGTGTCCACTCGCTTTCTGAAGGTGCGAGGTGAGGCCGCCAGGGAGAGACCAGGCCTCACCGCGGCCTTGGCCTCCTCCCACACATGGATGGGACTGGCCTTTAAAGCAAGATCACCTACTGGTCCATGAAGGCTGCTGCCATCAGGACTGGGGACAGTGGGATTAGGGAGCCAAGAAGTCACAGTTCTCAGTAAGAGACGGTGTGGTAAAGGGGACAAGGTGACTCGATTAGTGTCCTGAGGCCTTCTTGTCTCACTAGTCAGCAAAAGATTCATCTGGGAAGAATGTTTCCAGCACGTTCTTTCTGGGCTTTGTCATGTTTCAGGAACAGTCAGTCTCTGTGTAAGAAATAAAAAGTCCCTATTTGCCTCACTTAGAACCTCCCTTGAAGGACCTGGCCAGCACCGGGTGTGTCCCCACCTTTCTGGGCCAGTTTCTGGGTTGTGGGAGGAGGACACCATTGCCTTGGGGAGCTGTGCTGAGAACAGAGACCGCTGGGGAAGCAGGCGGTCACCTCTGTGCCAGCTGGGGAAGCGGTGGTCACCTCGGCAGCAGTTCGCAAATGGCTCTGATTCAGAGCTTGGTCCAGGCTCGGCGCTGGCGGCCGAGTCGCCATGGGGCCAAAACACCGAAATGCTGCCCACTTGTCCCATCTTTACGCACCTACTTGGTTCAAGCATTGAGGAGCGGCGGCGGGGGAACCTGGCGGGCCATATACCTGACCTTTCTGGTGACTGTGGGCCACATGGAGAGAATCTGTTTTCTGGTGGCTCCGAAAGGCCGCCTCTGAAAGACACAGAAACTCTTGACTCAGAGTGTTCGGGGACCCAGCAGACCTGTCCGTCAGGCTCCTCGGGTTGGTCTGTGAAGCACCCGGCCGCCCCACCCGCCGGCCACGCCCACCTGCCGGCGCTCCCAGGCCTGCCAGCTCGGCGCACAGCGGCGGCGGCGCCCCCTAGCGGGAGAGAAGTCAATGCCAGCACGGAAGGACCCGGTCGCTATCAGGGTGACTCGGAAGGAAATGGAAGTGGGCAGAGAGGCAGGGGGTTCGAGTACGCCCTCCCCTTTTTTGATAACGCAAACGGGATTTCTGGAATTGTGAAATCCACGGGACGGCCTGAGATCAAACTGCAGAGGTGGCGGCGTGGATGGGGGCGCGGGAAGGGGCGGGGGAGGCAGGCTCCTAGCTCCGTGGGGATGAACGTCCCTTGTGCCCTGCAGTGAGGGAGCCCAGTCGCTGCCTGTGCCCACCTTCTCCTCCCTGGCCTCTGCTCAACTTTTCCGAGAAGGGGAGGCTGGAAGCCATGCTGCCAATGCCCTCTGAGAATTAAGGTGCAAGGGCTGCAGACTGGCAGTCAGCAGCCACTTTGTGTCAAGAGCTCTTTCTCCAGCGTCGCATCTATCAGGCCCTGATTTAAATGCTTTTCTGTCCAAATGGTATCGTGAGTGACATTTACTTAAATGATCTCCCATTAGCCTGGGACATTGCTGGGCCACAAAAGGTAGAGCAGAGACTGAGAAAGGCCCCCACGTGCCTCTGTCCTCAGAGCCTTGGGGCCAAAAGCTTCGGGAGGAAACGGGGGTTTCCTGCCCCTCCTCTGTCGGGCCCCGGAAGCAGCAGGGGCAGGAAGGACCCCTGGGTCCTGCGGGGTCTGCCCTCACCGTGCGCGTGTTCTCCCACGGCACCAGGCCGAGCCCTGCCCGAGTCTCTGTCCCCAGTGCCGGCTCTCCACACACCCCCTCGTCCAGGCTGCTCGCTGGTGTCAAACCCAAGGGACTGGGGACCGCGCCCCAACATGTCCCCAAGGCAGCTTTCCTGAACATCCGTTGTGCAGAATGCTGACTGCTCTTTCTCATAACTTTTCCCAAGGGTGTTCGAGTTTGTCTCTGCTGGAGGTAAAGCAGGGGCTTCAGGTTCGGAAAGCAGCCAGAGGGAGGTGTGACTCCAAACTACCACTCACTTCCCCGGGGGCTCTCGGGGGCTCCCGGAGGTTCCACATGAGACCCCGTGAGACTGGCAGGTTAACTGACGTTTGCACTGAATTCGAACTACAACGCAGGAAGCTACTCATTTTAGGTGGCTACACCTTGCACATAAATGCACTTCTGATGCAGGCTTGTGAGCAGACGCACAGGCAGATGGGAAGGTTTGCAGGCACTCGGCGCGATTGGCCCACAAACCCCCAGTCTGCAGGGGGTGTCCCTGCTGGAGGAGTCCAGGCCCAGCCTCTCGGGGAGGAGCCAGACTGAGGGGACAGCGTGTGGGAGAGAGAAGACCAGAGGTGGCTTCCTGTCTCCGCTCTGTCTGTGAGGTGACAACCACAGACTCCTATCTTCAGACTCCAGCACCTAAGTTTGGCTGAGCCACTTTAAAGCCTGGCATTTCGAGCGAAAATATAAAGGAAACATTTGAAGGTCAGATGGTACCTATTCCTCTCTCTCCTTCCTGTAGCATAAATGTCTCTAAGCCTCTGAAATCGGTCCTCCAGACAAAGCTTTTCCATTCTCATCGTCCATGTTAAACAACAAAAGCCATTCACAAAACAGGCACCGTGGACTTCCACAGGCACGACCCTCCCAGGTGAGCAAAGCCACAGCACTGCTGGATCACGCACGCGTAGGTGGGACAACTGCCCAGAAGAGGGGGGCTGCAGGAAGTGCAGGCCAGGGGGCGGGGGTGCTGAGCGGGGCCCTCGGGGGCTTCTCTGGCACTGGCGACAGTCCTTACCCGGGGCGGGCACTGTCGCCCGCTTTATCATTGCTGACGTGGAACACTTCTGCACATTCACGTCTGACGGGATCTCACATGTAAGTGTTTAAAGCCATACATAAAAATCTCAAAGCCCTCTCCCCCTCCCGAACCCCAAAAGTATAAACAGAACCACCCACGCCGCAGGGACTATAGCACACTAGCATCACTAAATGCGAGTGGGCTCCCAGCTGTGGACCCCAGTAACTGCGACACTGTGATGGAGGCGTCAGAGGAAAAGGTGCCCTCGGGGAGGCTGAGCGCTGCTCGGTGGCACCAAGCCTGTGGCGCGGTGCCCGGAGTGGCCCAGCCTGTGGACGTGCTGGCCGCGTCCCCCCACCACACGGGCCCCACTCCTCTGGGGCCCTTGGCTGGTCCCGGGAAGGGAAAGGCTGGCGCTGCCCCGTGTTTAAAGGGGCGGGGCCTCCTCTTCTGGCCAGATGCTGTCTGCTTTCAGACAGTCAGGCAAGGCCCCCTCCCGAGTTCGGTCATTTGTAACATCAGTCGCCATGGCTCCACGGCCCCCCATCCCCCAGCAGAGGGCTTCACACTTCCTTCCAGGGACAGAATTAACTGTGGCCAAAGCAGACAACTGCACGGGCTGTAGGGGACGCGTACGGTTTTATTATGACATCCTGCTCACAGACTGGACCGTGCGAACGTGGGGCGAGGTTTCAGCTGCACAGCGGCTGTCTGTGTCACTGCAGGGTGGCGTGTGGCCGCCAGGCTCTGCAGCAGGGTTGCCACTGGCTGCAGCAGCGACGTTCAAAAGACCAGCAAACGTCAACAGATTCCAGCAGCGGCGCGTTCTTGGCTTGTCCTTTGCCCGCCTGCTGCCTCCGTGGGGAAGGAGTCGGATCCGGGCCGAGTGAGATCGCAGACGTGAGCGACACGTTGCAAGGGCTTCAGGGGTTCTGCCAGAACCGCCTGCTGGAACTCCCACGGCGTCTGCTCCCACGGAGCCTGAAGGCCACAGTATTTGGGGGCTTTTGTCCCAGCACCCCTCCCCAACCCCCACATCTGCTTCGGCCCTGACAAGGGGAGCATCTCGCCCCAGCTGTTTCGTCCTGGGCCTTCGGTGCCACTGGTCCCAGCGCCCCAGCAGTGGCCGTGCTCAGCATCCGGAAGACAAAGGCTTCCAAGACCTCCGTGTGACAGCGGCCACACCTCCCAGAGCCAGGTTCCCGGCACGGGGGGACAGTGTTAGGGAGGAAGGGAAGGGCTGTTCCCTAACCAGGCCCGGGAAGCTGCATGAGCAGTGAAGGACAGCGACGCGAGGTATTTGTTTCATCATCCAGTCCCCTAGTGGGGACAAGTCACAGCCAATCCACGGGGCCGGCTCAGTAGCACACGGTGAGAGGGGACCAGCTGCCTCCAGAAACCAACCACCCGCCACGCGCTCTGAGTCCCAGTCTCCAATGAGTCCTTAGTCCGCAGGAAAACCTCTGAGAGCAGCGCGGGATTCGGGAGCCTTTCTGTGACAACGGCGGGAGGTGCGGGGGGGACAGGGGTTTAGTGGGGCCTCGGGAGGAAGTGGCTCGTGACAAGCAGCATCGCCGTCCGGGCGCTCAGCAGTCTGCTCGTCAGCCTCAGTACTACCTGTGGGTCCCGCAGTGCATGCTGGCCCAGGCGCCCAGTGGCAGATGCCTGTCCCAAGGCCACAGACCAACCCAGAGCTCCAGGGACGACAGCTGGGCCTGAGCCAGCAAGAGGGCGGGCCGGGGGACATGACGCCGACGGCAGTGACATGGGCACTGCCAGGACGAAGCCCCGAGTTAACGCCGCAGAGCTCCGGCCGCTCAGAGCAGCCCGGGGTGGGCGTGTTTGCTAGTTCCAGCCTTACTCACTGCGAACCCAACGGCCTCTCTGCCTCTTCACACGGCTGGGCTCCCAAAGCGCTGGCCGCGCTTCCGGGCACAAAACACACCCTCCACAGGGAGGAGGGCAGAGGCGGGGCCTGCGGGGACACCCGGGTCACTTGGTCTGCGGGGGGGCCACTTGAAGGTCCTTCCGAGTGGCCTCATGGAAGGTGTGTGCACGGACACGTTCCTTGGGCACTCGGCACACGAGAGGGGCTCTGGGCAGGGAGGAGGCGACTTACAGACTGGCCGCCAAGTCACACGGCGCGGGTCTCGGCTTCGATTTTCTGCTCCCCGTGTAAGCTCTCCGGGGCCTGGAGCTGGGCCACACTCTGCCGGATGGCGATCTCGGGGCCGCCGCCGTACAGGTGGTGCAGGTAGGCCCAGGTCTCCTCCGAAATCTGCCCGTAGTCGGCACCTGCGGGGCCCAAGAGGCCACTGGGTGGGGCTGGACTGGCCCTGGCCCCTGGGCCCTTGTCCCCTCCATCCCGCAGTCCTGGCAGTGAGGTGTCCGGGAGAGAGGGTGACCACAGGCCTCTGTGTGAAGCTGTCAGTGGAAGTCTCAGAATTTTCCGGTACAATGTCCATTCTCCCAGGAGCCCACAGGGCACATCTCTGGCTGTGCCCCTCGTCTCCCTGGGGTGGGGATCACACGGAGGGCGGGCAGACGGGGCAGACAGAGGGCACTAGAGGGCGAGGTGGGCAGAGGGGCCTGAGGACCCACGCAGAGGCCAAGCACCTTGGCCCTTCTGCTTGGACGCTGGGCTTGGACTTGGGCGGACGGCTCAGACCGACCCAGATGGGCGGCAGGGGGCTCCTGTGACTGGCAGCCAGCGGGGCAGACGGGAGCCTGGCTGATCGGGGAGGCCAGGGCCGGGGCCAGCGACACTCACCCTGCCTCAGCTGGACGTGGCCGCTTCCTTTGAGCTGTGCGATCCTGCTGTTGTCAATGGGCCCAGGGGGCTCTGGAACAGACCCAGACCCAGCTCGGGCTCAGCCCCACTGTGCCGGGGCCTGTGCCAGAGCCCTCCACCCGGTAGGCAGGACCTGGCCTCCAGGTGTGACTCCGACACCTGGGATCCCCGCGTGGCTGCCCTGGGCCCAAGGGGTCAGCGTGAAGTCCTTACATAAGGGCAACGTGCGTGAGGCACCAAATGCTCAGCCACAGAAGTCTGAGGCCAGAAGGGCCTCGCAGAGTCCCCGCACCTGGCAGAGGAGTTTCTAGGGCTCACGCGCTGGTTTCTGACTCTAGCGTGGCGGGGTGGGGCCGTGCCGGTGGACACTGCTCTAGTCTATAATGGCAGTCCCCACCCGCTGAGCACCCTTCCCGTGTGCCCCGGTATCTCACGTAATCCTTGACGACCGTGAGAGACGAGAACTGCTCCCACAGACGGGGGGAGCCACCGCCCACCCCAGGGCTGGCATAAGGCCGAACCAGGACCGCGACTCAGGAGCCAGGTTCGTGGGCACGGCCATGCCGACCGCCCCCACCAGCACTAGGGAGGCCGCGGGTGTCCCTGGCACGCTCGCCACCCAGCGGGGACGAGATGGCAGTGAGACCCAGCCCTGTTTCTGATACCTGGCTTACACTCCGAAAGGCAAATGGCCAGCAGCACATGGAGCCCACGGGCTCTGCCAACCGTGCCAGGCCCCAAGCCCCAGGCTGGGTGCCCGCACATGGGGCTCGGGGGCGGTGAGGGTGGCTACGTGCCGGCCAGGGCGTGGGCTCTGCTGTTTCCTACGAGACTGTGGGGACTCTGGGAGCTGCTTTGTGAGGAGCCTGCTCCCACCCCAGTAAATCAGGGGTCAGAGGACTCGGTGTCTTAGTCCTCCCCTAAGAGTCTGAAGCTATCTGTTAACTAAAATCTATGTAGCGCAACGGAATGCCCGGAGGGAAGGGCTGGGCGGGCAGCCACCCCCGGGCGTTGGCCGGGAGAGGACAGGGGAAGGGCCGAGTAAGCTGGCCCTGTGTCTGCTGCTCTGGGCAGTGGCCTGGCCCGAGGTGGGGACAGCCGGGGGAGCACCTGCGTTCTCTGCCATTCACCCAAAGGGGAGGCACCAAAACCTGCTGGCCAGGAACAGACCCTGGGCGCCCCGCTGGGGTTCAGGGCCACCGCCCGGCTCCCCATCCTGAGACGTTCCCAGCAGAGGCACAGCCCAAGACCCTCCTGGTGGGGGGCGTGCCAGGCACAGTGCCGGGGCCCCTGCTCCACTCACCGCTGTCCTTGCCCTTGACAAAGGCCTCCCACTCGCGGAACCACTGCATGCTGATGCAGTAGATGACGCCGGGGGACTCCTCGGCCTGGAAGGCCTTGTTCAGCTGGGCCGGCGGCGCGCAGAGGGGAGCAAAGGGGACGGTCAGCACGAATATCCCAGCCCCTGGCACTCGGCACCCTGACTCCCACGCACCGCCAGGACTCCGGGCGCCCGAAACTCACAACGCCGGACGAGTTCAAAGAAAACAAACGTTTCCCACGCCCCCTCCCCGCCCCACTCGCACGGCTGCTGCTAACGTTCTGGTGGATCTCTTCCCCGTAACTTTTTAAAAACTCAGCCGAGATGACATGGTCAATGCTGTTTCCCCTTCTTCATAGAACTAGCTCACTCATGAACTGTCCTGATCATATTGTGTCTCAGTGGCCGCAAAGCACGGTGTCCTTGGGCGTCCTCTACCCAAACCTCTACTGCTAAATGACAAATGGTCCCCACGTCCCCCGGGGGGGTGGGCGCGGGGTGTGAGCCGGGGCCTCCGTCCTCACACACCCCCGTCTCCGCTGCGGAAGTCCCTTTCCTAAATGCATCGTGCTGGGTCCTGTTTTGCAATTGGCTTTTGTTCACTGAACACACCTTCTCGTGCCAGTCTGAAGTGCCCCGTGGTTCTCAAAAGGCCTGTGGGGACACCTGCCAGTGTCTGGAGGTAATTTTGGTTGTCACCGGCATTGAGCAGATAGAAGCTGGGGATGCTGCTCAACACCCTACAAACCGTGACAGCCCCCAGGACGGAGAACCGTCCAGCCCCAAACCACAGCGCCCTATTCCTTAGCACAGCTCAATAGTACGGCCAGTGGGTGGACCTCGACTCACCCAGCCCGACCCCTTCTGTCAGTGAAACTTTAACCATCTGGCTGGACCTGTGGCCAGGCCGATCTCCCACAGAACACGCCCTCCAAACAGAGCCTGACACCACGCGGTTCTTTCGTCTTCGAGTCCTCACGTTCCCGGCAGAGGCTGGAAGCCCGGCTCTGCCGTGCCACCCCCAGCTGCACGCACCTTGATGAAGGTGTCGATCTCGACCCGCCTGCGCTTGGCCAGCGCCTCGATCTCCACCTGGCAGATGGAGCACACGTACAGATGGTTCACGGCGGGGCCGCCCCCAAACCTGGGGAGGCAGAGAGAGACACACACGGGCCCTGAGGGGTGGTCCCGTCAGGCACCCGCTGGGCTCCCCTTGGCGCCCTGGCCGGGGCCCGCTGACCTGTCTTCCTCACTAGACCAGTGAGGGCGCCTGCCTGCCACCATGCCCATGCTGCTCAGCAGAGTGCCGGCTGCAGGGCCCTGCATCTCAAATCTGCTTAACAGCCAAGGGACGGACTCACATCCTCGCTTCCTCTACTGGCTACTGGGCAGGAGGGTGGCCGAGAGCCCACAAAGCCAGACCCTGAGGACGACGTTAAAGGAAGGCTGCAGGTCCTTCTGCAGGTGGGACCCACGGGATTTGGGGTGCATCTTACTCTGGGGTTCTGACAGGCCCACCAGCTCTGCGCCTGACCTGCAAGTGGACGGAGCAAAGCCAGTCCAACGAGAGGCCAGGGCAGCCGCAGCTTCTTGGCCCCTCCTTCTCCACCCGGCTGGCCACCCCTGTCCGCAGCACGTCCTGCCTGCCCAGCGGCAGAGAGACCCGGGCCTAGGCAGGTGCTCGACAAGAGAGCCACACGTTCTTGCCTTGATGGACTTGAACGTGGAAGGCTCCGGGCAGCACAAGCCCAAGGCCACCTGAGCTAGACATGGGGTGGGGGAGAGATGCTGGCCAGACCGCCCTGCAGCCAGCACCCCCAGGACGTGAGAGGGGCCAATACGCGCACTTTCGCTTAGGCGGGTTTTCTGCGCCTGGGCACGGTGAGCGTCCACCTGCGTGCCCACAGATGCCATGTGTCTTTTTCGGTGCAGACAGAGACGCGAGGGAGGCCCCCGCCACTGCTTCAGTGCGTCTGCCGCCGGAGCAGAGGGCCGCGTGCGGGCATGGTGGCGGCACCCTCCCCGTCTTCCTCTGCTGCTCAGCTGAGTGCTGGCCTGGACAGGGGGGGGGCAGGCTGGCCTTCCGGAAGAGGCTGGCCACAGCACCTTACCTGTTGTACAGGTACTCCCAGACGTCCTGCGGCAGGATCACCACCAGGTCGTCGATGTAATGGTACTTGTTGGGCGGGATGCCTGCGGAGGAAGGCGCAGGGAGGGACAGGTGGGGGCTCGGCCGGCCCACCCCACACGCGGGCCACAGAGAAGGCTCCCTCACCTCCGTGGGAGCACAGGAAGGTGTAGTTGGTGATGGGCCCCGGCTCGGCAAAGGTGTTGAACTTGTTGAGCCATTCTCGGGACACGTAGAACCTCAGCAGGCTGGTCTCCCGCTTGGCGGCCAGCGACACCACCTGCTGCCGCTCCCGCACCGCCTCCTCGCTGCTCTTCCTGGGGCGGGGGCGGGGGAGACGTAGGAGCAGCTGTGCCTGGGCTCCCTGCCGTGCTGGGGGACCGGCCACACCCTGTCCAGGGGTGTGTCCAGAGCCGCCCCACCTCCGGAACCCCTCGGCAGCCCCGCCGCTCCTGCCAGAGTTCTGGCTGCCATCACCTCGCAGGAGGACGCCTCTCACAGGAGGACTAAACCCGACCCCTTGAGTTTCTATCAGCCAGAAGACTCTTTCTTAAAGACTCAAACCCTTACCCTGGGTCTTAAAACACTCTAGGCTCCAGCACCCACGACGCACCCCGAGTCAAGCCCTGAGGAGCAGGACGTCCAGGCTGCGGGTCACCAGACCCAGGCCCCCACACCCTGGCCACCTGCCGAGGGGCACACCTGTAGAAGAGGACATAGGCCTCAGCACTCTGCACCACCGTCTCGTGGACCTTGGTGACATACTGGTCATCGAACTCATACCACTGCCCGTTGATCACGTTCTGGCAGTAGGCGATGTAGTGGCCACCTGCGGAGGGAGGGGCCGGCTGGTTACAGATGCCCTAGGCGCCGGGGCCGGGGCCAGGGCGGGGTGGCCAGACTCACTGCCTGCCGTGCCGTGGTGGCAGATGACCGAGAGGAGGTCGTAGGTGGAGATCTGGGACGTGCACTCCTTGGCGAGGAAGGGGCGCAGGTCAAGTCCCTCAAGGGGGAAGGACACGTGGCTGCTGATTTTGAACGAATACATCACCTCATGCCGAAAGCGTTTCAAATGAATGCACAGGATCTGGGGGGAGGGGCACGTCAGTCATTCCAGGGCTGGCCAGGGCCCTGTGACCCCAGTAATCTGACAGGGACCTTGAGGCAGGGCTCTGGGACACTGACTAGCCTGCCGTTTGACCCACTCAGGTCTTGATGTCCAGGAGGAAACAAGAAACCCAGCGGCAAGAGCGTTCCCGAGGCCCAGGCCTGTGGATGGCGCCCCCACCGACCACGTCTGAACGCACGGAGGAGCTCGGCGTGGGGGCCGAGGCGGGCAGACGCGACGTGGGGCTGAGCTGCACAAGAAGCTCAAGTTCACCCTCCAAAGAACCCCGACGACCAGTTCTGTTGGCTCCGACTTTGAGAAGGCCTGTCCACACAGCCTTCCCTCGCCCGCTGGCACCGTCCCGGGCACCGCGCCTTGGGCCACACTCCTGCTCCAGCCACACCGGCCTTCCGTGGCTCGGCCGAGCCTGTTCCCGCTTCGGGGTTTTGCCCACTGTTCCTTCCGACTCTCCCTCCACAAGGCAACGCCAGGCTACATCCCCGGGGCTCACTCAGACGCCACCTCCTCAGAAAGGCCTTCCCTGACACCCCATGGCCAGGTCCCCTCCCCTCAGAGCCACCTATTCTAGGTCATACCCTCGGCGCCTCCTACACCCGCCTCACGGTGACAAAGGAGCTGAGGCCACGGGAGAGAGCGCGCCAGGTTACGAATTGAAAAACGAGCCCTGTCCGTCTGCCAGACCCTCCCAGGAGGCCTCTCGGCCCCAGCGGTGGCTTCTCCACGGGCCTCTGCAGCTCAGAAGCTCCCGAGTCGGGGAGGGCTTGGCCTCTGCCGCATGCCGCCACAGTCAGCATGGAGAGGCCCTGGTGGCCAGAGGGGCGGGGGCTGCTCCGCTCACCTCCGGCAGCCGCAGGACCTTACAGTACTTCACGCCATTCCGCAGCCTGCGGGGAGAGAGCAGGACAGACTCGGTGCGTGCCCCAGTGTGGCGGCCAAGGGGCCGGCTGAGCACCCCTCCCACCCAGACGCCTCTGCGAGGTCAGGATCAAACTCTCTGGGGAACCCATGCAAAGTACATGGAACACAGACGGACCACAGAGGCTGGAAACGGGACACTGGGGAGAAGCCCCCAGAAGGCACACACTTACTTTTTACACCGTTCACAGCTATACATGTTGTCGCCTAGGGCAGTAAAATAGAGACGAAGGTTAGCGGGGATGGGGAGTGGGGAGAAGTGCATGTAACGATTCACGCTTACGAATAAAACCACAGTGCGCTGCCTACGACAGACTTACTTTAGCTCGAAGGACACGCACGGGCTGAAAGGGAAGGGACGGATAAAGAGATCACGTGCGAATGGCAAGCAAGAGCGAGCAGGAGCACGACACTTATACCAGATAAAACAGACTTTCAGTCAAAATCAGCCGCAAGGGACGAGGGTCACTATACAGTGACCGAGGGGACGGCGGTTCATCCAGAGGGTGTAGCCATTGTAAAGTACATAAACGCTCGATAGTGGAGCATCTAAATATTTAAAGCAACAGTAATGATGATGAAGGGAGAAGTAGACAGCAATACAATAATCGTAGGGGCTTCAATACTCCACTTTCAGCACTGGATGGAGCATCAGTCAGGGAACAGCAGCCCCGAATAACACTACAGATCAAACCGACCCAAGAGACACGCGCAGAGCACTCCACCCAACGGCGCCAGGATACACATCGTTCGCACAAGCACCCGGAACGCTCTCCACAACGGATCACAAAGCAAGCCTTAACAAGTTTCAGAGCACGGAAATCACATCTAGTATCTTTTCCAACCACAACGGTTTGAAACTAGAAAGCAATAATAAAAGGAAAAACTAACAAATCCATAAACATGTGGAAATCGAACAACACACTCTTGAATGACAAATGGGTCAAAGAAGAAATCAAGAGGGGAATCAGAAAGTATCCTGAGACAAATGAAAATAAAAATACAACACACCAGCGCTTACGGGACGCAGCAAAAGCAGTTCTAAGGGTGAATTGATAGCAATAAACGCCTACGTTAAGAGAAAAGAAAGATCTCAAAGAAACAGCCTCACTTTACACCTCAAGGAATTGAAAAAAGAATAAACTGAGCCCAAGGTTAGCAGAAGGAAGGAAATAACGAAGATTAGAGCAGAAGCTAATGAAACACACTAGAAAGACAATAGGGAGAAAAGTCAAAACTAAGAGCCGCTTTTTTGTAAAGATAAACAAAATTGACAAACCTCTAGCTAGATTAACTGAGGATAAAAAAAAAGACTCAAATAAACATTATAAATGAAAGAGGAAAACACAGAAATATAAAAGATCACGAGAGACCACTATGACCAATTATACATTAAAAAAATGGATAACCTAGAAGAAATGGGTAAATTCCTAGAAACATACAACCTAGCAAGACTGAATGATGAAGAAACAGAAAATCTGAACCAACCGATAATGACTAAGATGATTGAAGTAGTAACAAAAAACCTCCCAACAAACAAAAGCCAACGGGATTTCACTGGTGAATTCCACCAAAAAACTAAAGAGAAGAGAGCACTCCCAAACTAACTTCATGAGGCCAGAGCCACATGAGCACACTACGAGGAAAGACAACTACAGGCCAATATCCCTGATGAATAGATGGGAAGATTCTCCACAAAATTCTAGCCAATCGAATTCAACGGCGCGTTTAAATGATCGCACGCCACAATCGAGTGGGATTTATCTCTGGGATACAAGGATGGTTCAACATATGCAAATCAATAAACGTGATATACAGCACATAAATATAACGAAGGATGAAAATCACACGATCCTCTCGAATGCAGAAAAACCATTTGACAAATTTCGATATCCATCTTTTCACGATGGAAGATCTCATATTGGGCGTAGAAAGAACACGCCTCAGTACAATACGGGCCATATGTGACAAGCCCACAGCTAACCTCATCCTCAGCTATTCGACATAGTACGGAAAGTCCTCACCAGGAAAAGAGGAAAAGGGCAGGAATGGGAAATTTCAAAATAGGAAATACTAATAACCAATACGTGAGCGAAAAAAAGGTTTGAGCTCATCAATAATCAAGGACGTGAAAAATTAAAGCACGACCTTCCTCTTGTCCACCAAATCAGTAAGAGAAGAAAAGCAGCTGAACCCCTCAGAGCTACGAGGTGGTGACTTGGGGAACATTTGGTCCCCTGGCAGGCAGGGCTGGGTCACTGACAGTGAGTGGACCAGCAAGCCCACCCCAGCCAGCTCGGCCCACTCACCCTTCAGCTCATCAGCAGCGAAGAAGGCGGCGAGGCAGTCTTCCAGGGTGACGACTGGCCCCCAAAACCAGCTGGGGGTACAGGATACCACGAACCTATGGAGACAGAAGGGGGTGGTGGGAGAGCTGCCGGGGCCTGGGTGAGGGCAAGCTGTGGGGCGTGTGGGCTGGGGTCTGCTCCAGCCCACAGAGGCAGGTTGGCCCAGTGGGTGGAGAGGGCAGAGGTCTGGAGCCAGACACCCAGGGCCACCAGCCAGCAGCTCGGTGTCCTTGGGAGAGGGACGTCATCTGTCCCTGAGCCTCGCCCTCCTCATCTGAGAAGGGGCCCTGACCACACTGGCCGTCCTCTGGGTAGTCAGGTTCCCACCCGGCAGGTACAGCAGGCACCGTGGCACCGCCGGGGCTGCAGAAACCGCCCACTGCCCTCCAGCTGCACCCCCCGCCCAGCTGCCTCTCGGTCACTCCACTCGCCTTCCGAGGGCCCGCCCAATCCAGGCCATCCCAGGGTGGACCTCCCCCGCTCCCCCGCTGAGCTAACCCCACACATCCTTCAGCCTCACACTCCCTCTGGACCTGCCCTCATCCCTGCAAACACGCGTGCTTTCCCGTTTAAGTCTGTCGCCTGCCCTAAAAAGGCTGGGCCAGGGTGGTCTTGTGTCTCTGGTGGGCGGACGGGGACATACCTTCGAATATACTCCACGATGAAGGCAAGCCAGCCCTGGGCGGCGTAGCTGTCCCCGCAGGCACCTGACTTGGCTGGCACGTTCTGGTAGATGGCCGAGTGGAGCTTGGCCAGGTCCTCCTTGCCAGGAATGGGCAGTGACAGGTCCTGGAATGTCTCTACCGTAGTGGATACCTGTGGGGTTAAAGGTCAGCCTCGGTCTCCACCTTCCACGGTCCTGCCCTGCCAGACCCAGCAGAGTCAGTACCCTGAATCCCAGCTACCAGCTGGCGGGGGTGGGGCAGGAGGCCTGCTCCCCAACCCTTGGACACGGAAGACCTGCAACCGGGGCCCTCCCCCTAGGGAAAGGCAGGGGTGCGAGGTGGAGAACCCATCTCCCGCCTCTAATCCCGGTGAGCACACCGAGGCTGCTGAAACCCGAATGTCCCTCCGCAGCCCAGGCACCTACCCGGTCACAGGTGAGACACTGCACGAGGCTGAGGATGGAGCCGTCGAAGATGTCGGAGATGACGCTGCGGTAGCGCTGCTCCTTCCGCCGCCGGCTGCCGGCGCTCGGCACCTGGGCTGGGGGCAGAGCACAGGGCTGGGCCTGCGGAGGGGCGGGCCTGGGGCCTGCCTGGCCAGGACAAGGGTCAGGTCTACGTGAGTCATGTGGCTGGGGATGCAATTCGGCTGCTGGGGCCTCGGGCATGGTCTGTAAGATGGGGCTCCCCCAGCGCACCCAGTGGTGTGAGGGGGGTTCAAGGCGCGGTGTGAGGAGCACACGGCACAGCCGCTGGCACTGGGAGCTCGACAATGGCAGCCGCGGACCCTCAGTCCCGGCCCCGAGCCCCATGTGAGGAGGCCCCGCTGACCCGCTCGCCCTGCCCGGCCCTGCGAACCTTTCTTGAGCACATACGATGGCCCCAGCCTCACGGGGCTCGCGCGCGCAGGGCTGCTGGCCAGCTTGGCGTGGCCCTCGTGGTGGTGCACGGGGCTGCAGGGGCGAGAGGCGCTGCGCATGTGGGCCTCGTTGTCCGGCTCTAGGGGCAGAAGGGGACCGTGCTGGACCAGGGCAGCCAAGCCAGCTCTGGGGCCCGGCCAGGGAGAAGACCGCCAACTCCTCGTGACAGGGATGAGGCCCGCGCCCACCGTGTGTCCCCAGTGCCCGCCCGGCCCACGCACTTCGGCTTCGGGCAGAGGGCTCAGGGCGCCAGCACGGCCACGAACCCCACTCCAGCAACATCAGCTCAGAGAGTCTGGACACATCCGTCCCGTCTCCGCCCTGGAAGCTGGGTCTCATGGCAGGAAGCCCCCCGGGGAGGTGGGGGAGCTGGGCGGGCCACTGCGTGTTGGCGCCCAGCAGGGTCCATGCTGGACAGACAGGGCTGTCGGGTACCTGGCGTCCGGCAGGGACTGGTGGACCGCGGGGACGGGGGCTGAGCCTCGGCGGGCTGGGGGACGAGGGCGGCCATGGCGGTGTCCACGTCGGCGTCCTCGTCCACTTGCTCCGAGCTCGTGCGCTGCTGGCCCCAGGAGAACTTGCGGTCCTTCCTCCGCTCCTTCTCGGAGATGGCGCGGCCCGCCTCGTCGGGGCTCAGCAGCTCCGTCTCGGCCTGCGAGCTGCTCCCGCCACGGCCCTGCCCGTCGCCCTCGCCCCGGTCGCTGCTCGAGTCGCAGGACAGGAACTCGTCCTCGGATGGGCTCCGGTCACCCTCCCGCTTGTCGTCCGAGTCGCTGGAGTCTGAGTCCCGAGCCTCCGTCAGCGTCGCCGCTGCCATCACCACCGGCTCCTTGAGCTCCTCGTGCAGCTGGTCCATCAAGCAGCGCAGGAACTCCTGGGTGTCCTGGAACCGGGGGCTGCGTCAACTGGGCTCTCCCTGGGGGGCGGGGAGCCCGCCCCCACAGCGCCGCTGCCCACCAGGCCCCTGGTCGCTTCGGCTGCCGGGCCCTCGCTGGCGCCCTGTGGAGGTGCACCCGCCAAGCCCTCGCAGTGGCCTCCATGGCAGTTCTGTCCTAACCCCCTTTCTGCTGAGCACACCGAGGTGCAGAGAGGCTGAGGGACCGCTCCCGGCTGTAAGCGGGCAGACCGAGGTCCATCTGACACTGTAGCTCATGCTCTTCACCTCCTGTAGCCCTGCTTCCTGCTCAGCGTGGGAGAGAGCAGAGACATCACATGCAGCCACTAATGTCGCCTTGCTCCCTGAAGGAGGGGACACCGGGGGCAGGAAGGGAGCCCGCGGAAGGTGTGCACTGGAGGAGTGCGCACGCGAGGGCGCCGCAGAGTTCTGCAGGGACCAACGCCCCCTGCAGGCCGGGTGGTCTGCGTCCTCCCCCTGCCTCTGGTCCTCCCTGCGCTCAGTCCTTCTGCCAGGACCTGGGGCGTGAGTACTGGTTCTGCAGGCGGAAGGTCACCTGCCTGCAGACCTGCGCATGACCTGGACTAAGCTGCCGCTTCAGGTCTCAAATCACAGCAGTGACACTTCTATTCTGACTAGTCTGTGACTAGGTCACCAACCCAGCAGGAAGTGAGGGCAGCGAGGCCTCGGGCTCAGCCTGCCCACTGAGCCGAGAGCAGCACACACCATACAGGAGGTGCTTTAAAAGGTCTGAAGACAGTCATGGCAGCTGATCTCCGACGGCTGGACGCAGTTGCTGCCGTGCTGAGCCACTGGACTCAAAGTCTAGTTCTGTCCCTCACAGTTCCTGACCCAGATGTCAGAAGCAGCCTCCTCCCGCACCGCCTGGCCCAACTCCTGACCCACACGAGGCGGGCCTCCCGCAGTGGCCAGACCCAGTCGCGCACTCGAAGCCTCACGTCGGACACGGGGAGGGGGCCTCGTCCTCCCCATTCTAGAGGAGGGGAGGGCGGGCTCTGGCTGCATTCCCTCAGGACAAATGCCAAACTCGAAGACCAGAGAAATGAACCGCCCGCTTATCTCACAGCATGGCGACAGGAGAGGAGATGTGTGTCCTGAGTCGGGGGTCACTGAAAGGTTCCTTTAAGAAAGAGGCCGTCGACATGCCGTCTACTTTTTTCCTGGTTTTTCCTCTTAACAAAAGGACTCTGTGCTCGTTGCTAAAATCTCAAGCCATGTGGAAGCATGACAGCATCCTCTGGTCACCAAAGGGCCCACAGCTGCATCTGCGCTTCAGACTCAGAAATGTCCTCTGCTAAATCCAAGGACCACAGAACGAAGCTTCTGGAGTCCAGGTGGATGTGAGGCAGCAGCGGAGGGGCCCTGCCCCACGGGGTCCTCACGGAGCGCCGAGGGCCGGCAAAGCGCCTCGCATAGGATGAGGGTAGGGACAGCTCGGCCAGGCCTGAGTCTCACCCCTACCGCTGTGCGCTGTGTGACCTGAGAGAGCTGTAGAACCTCTCTGAGCCTCAGCTCCTTACCTATAACACGGGGTGATGACAGGGCCCACTATAAGAGTTCTGTGACAATAACCAAGGCTGTACCTATGTGGCAGGTAGTGACCAAGTAATCAACAGTGGATGGCAGATTTTGATCACTGTGTAGACATTACTGCTCTCCAGAAAGGGCGGTGTCCTGGCAGCGCTGGGCTTCTCAGCCAGCAGCCTGCCATTCATCCCACTGAGGGTGTGAGCAGAGAAACGCCCAGCAGCCCGCACCGGGAAGGGATGGGGTGGGATGCAGCGAAGGCATCCTTCCCTCACGTGACCACCGCCCCGCTCCTGGCCCCCACGCTCAGGCAGCAGAAATGCCAAGCCAGACAGGTCCAGCTCCACCCGCAAGCCCAGCAGTGAAGCCCCAGCAATGTGACAGTCTGAGGCAGGGACCTGAACCAGGTTTGGGGCTGGGGTATGCATGTGGCTGCATCTTGGTCCCATGATTTTATGCAGAGTTCTCTAGATTTACAAAACTTGTAATCAAACGTTTAACAAAAGTGAAATTCTGCCTGTGGTTTGGAAAACGAGAAGGCACGTGCTATTTTGAATACAGTGCCGAGACACGCAGACTCTGGCGTTAGGCTGCCCGAGGTCAAACTTCCCCTCCGCCAGCCGTGTGAC